TGCAACGTGCCCACAAGGTGGAACTCCACCTTGCACATGCTGGAGAGACTGTGCAAACAGCAGGCGATAGTGGAGTTCGGTCAGTCGCTCTGCGGAACAGCACCACTTCACCACCAATGAGTGGGCCTCCATGCAAGACCTGTGTGCCATGTTGCGCTGTTTTGAGTACTCCACCAACATGGCCAGTGCCGATGACGCCGTTCTCAGCCTTACTATCCCGCTTCTATGTCTCCTTGAAAAAAACGCTGAAATTCCTGGCCTTAGAAATGCTGTCATTCCGTCTGGTGGAGATGGACAGTTTTAAAAACCTGATGGCGTTATTGGACTGCAAGACATGCACCGCAGGCCGCAAATGTTTCTTTTTTTATATGTCCCAATATTTTGGGGGCTACCACAATTAAAAAAAATAATAAATAAATAAATAAAAAACAGTGTTGGCTACCGCCTCCACTGCTGCTTCCACCTACACAGCAACGGTCACCGCCTCCTCAACCTCCTATTCCACATCCACCTCCTCCTCTTCCTAGAGTAGGGTGCAAAAGCGGAGCGGCCGTCCCCTAGACAGTACGCCTGCTACTGCCCACCGCACCCAGGGACCGCTGTCATGGTAAAACCAAATGTACACATCAAAACAAAACGTGAACAAAAAATCTTGTATTTTCGCAATATGTCTGTTCAGGCCTTATTCACCTGTTTCATATTATGTGCACTCACACTTAATAGATATCATTTTATTCAGGGGAAACAGGGCTTTCATTTAATATATTTAGTGTCATCTGCAAACACTGGAACATGAATTTCAATGCTTTTTTCAAGATCATTTATAAATATGTTAAATAGAAGGGGTCCCAGAACAGAACCCTGAGGGACACCACTTGCCAGCTCTGTCCAGCCTGAAAATTTACCTCTAATGACAACTCTTTGTACTCTGTTTTTAAGCCAATGTTCTACCCAAGAACAAGCATTTTCATCTAGACCGATTTCTTTGAGTTTGAACACTAATCTATTGTGTGGAACTGTATCAAATGCCTTCGCAAAATCCAAATAGATCACATCCACTGCATCACCCTGATCTATACTTCTACTTACTTCTTCTTGGAATGCAATCAAGTTAGTTTGACATGACCTGTGCTTCATAAAACCATGCTGATTTTTGCTGATAACCATGTTCTTCTTAAGGAATTCTTGAATAATATCCCTTAATAACCGTTCAAATACTTTTCCAGCCACAGAAATTAAGCTCACAGGTCTATAATTTCCAGGCAAGGATTTTGAACCCTTTTTGAATATCGGAACCACATGTGCCTTCCTCCAATCCTCCAGAACACTTCCTGAAAGAAAAGAATCTTGAAAGATTAAAAACAGAGATTCACTTATGTCTACACTTAGTTCCTTAAGTACTCATGAATGAATACTGTCAGGCCCTGTAGCTTTGTTTATATTAACTTTCTTTACAAGTTTTTAGCAGCAATCATTTGCACATCTAATGCCATGGGTTCTTCCTTAATATATACGGAGGAGAAATAGTTATTTAACATTCCTGCCTTTTCCTGGTCTTCATTAACTAATACCACCATTCCAGTTTTTAATGTACCTACACTTTCATTTTTTATTTTTATTTTAGAATTTATGTACTTAAAGAATGGTTGGTTTTGCTCTCTTTTGCTATCATTTTTTCATTTTGAAGTTTAGCAAATCTAATCGCCTTTTTGCACGCATAATTGGCTTCCTTATATCTTTTACAGGATGCATCTGATTTGTCCGATTTAAATGCTTTAAATGCCCTTTTCTTATTTTTAATCTCTTGCTTTACTTCTCTACTAAGCCACATTGGTTTCAATTTGTTTCTTTTATATTTATTACCCAATGGTACATACTGAGAAATGTGCCTTTCTAATATTTGTTGGAAGATTTTCCATTTATGCTCGGTGTTCTTTTCACTAAAGAGTTTATGCCAGTCAATATATTGTAAAGCTTGAATTATATTGTATTATAGAAATTGGCCTTTTTAAAATGATATGTTTTAGTATACCCCATGTGCTTTTGTTTTTTTGAGTTTGAGTGTGAGAGTGCTTTGTGTGAGTGTGATGTGGGCAATGTCTGTAAGAGTGTTGTGTGTGAGGGTGATGTGTGTGTGTCTATGTGTGTATTTGTTAGGGGGGATTGTGTGTTGGGGGTAAAAAACAGGCATTATGTCCTTCTTTAGCCTAGGAGGGGGTGACTGTGCTGCCATTTCTGGTTGTTCTAGTGGTGAGTGGACTCTAGCCTGCGAGGCTAGCGTTTACTCTCGCAAGATCAGGGGCATTGCCATGGCCTGCATGGACCGGCCCGTGGACATCGCGGCCAACCTGGAATTTGCCTGGCGTGCCTGATGGCCAATACGGGCCTGCCCTCAGGGTTCTGTTCTGGGACTGCTTCTATTTAACATATTTAAAAATGATCTTGAAAAAGGCATTGAAAGTCATGTTTCAGTGTTTGCAGATGAAACCAACTTTGTGAGCAAGATATTACTTTGCTGCAGAGTGATTTAGATTAGACTGGGGGACATGGCACTCAAATGGCAGATTAAATTTAATGTAGAAAAATTTAAAGTTACGCACTTTGGGGTAAAGAATGCACAAGCAATTTATACCCTAAATGGTAGTGAAGTAGGGATAACAACACATGAGAAGGATTTAGGCTAAGTCCATTAAGGTATTGTCATGTATAAAAAGGGGTATTAATTCTCATGACGATAAATCACTGGTAAGACCACATCTTATCCTGTGCAATTTTAGGCACGTGTTCTAAACAAGGATGTTATGGCACTATAAAAAGTGCAGAGGTGGGCTACAAAATTAATAAAGGAAATGGAACATTTTAGCTATGAAGAAAAGTTAACAAATGTAAACCTCTTTAGTTTAGAAAAACAGCACCTTAGATGGGATATGATAACATTATACAACTATATCTGGGGTCAATACAAACCATTGTCTGGAATTCTATTCACAAACAGGACTCTACATAGGACACAAGGTCATGCGTTTAGACTAGAAGAAAGGAGATTTAGTCTAAGGCAAAGGAAAGGGCTTTTTACCATAAAAATAATAAGGATGTTGAATTCTCTGCCTGTAACGCTCTCGGGAGAAAATTTATTTGGAACGCAACTGCAGATGAAATAATACATTTTTAAGAAAATATAATTTATTTAAATACAGAAAATTAACTTTGGCAGTCTTTTGTAGCAATAAGGTCTTGAAATAATAAGGCATGAATGGTTATAATCTTGTTTTAGAATTGCATCACAAGAATATAGCAATTATAAAAATAAAGAAATGCTTAATCAGCAGCAAACAATATAGTCCAAGTGAAGCCAAGAAAGAGTACTCGTAATCTAAGTGGGGAGGAGAAAGAGGGAAAGATATCTTATACAAGCCTCCCCAACAAGTACTGGTACATTAGCAGCAACCCTATGTTGTACATATAAAATTAAAATATAACTTTTAATAAATAGGTTAAAATGATAACAAAGTGTATGATGAATAATATTTAAGGCTGAGAGGTAAAAAACAACAAAACAAATATGGATAGTGTTAAGACACCCCTGGTGTCTTTAAGAGAAACCACCATTTAGTTCACCTTCCCCTTTCGCAATATCAGTACTCCGTTCGCATAAACTGCAGTATACAAACCACCACCAGGGGAAGCGGTAATCTCCAGACCGGGATCCGTGAAAGGCTCCAAACTCCCGAACAGAAATCCACGAACCGCCGCTAACCGCCGAACAACGATATCCACCAAGCGGCTTTCGGTTCCAATAATCAGTCTCTAGACGCAAATAATAAATCCCCCCAATAACGAGACAGAAGCTCCACATTGAGGGTCAAACAGGATCTCGCTTTACTGTGGGCTACCTGCCCGTATTTATGCAGGTCTCCCACTTGGTGGACACTCCCCTAGAGGAGCAAATGGGAGACTGTAATGACAGATAGACATGGGGACATTTTCAGACATACAGATGTAACCTTTTCTCACAATGCAATATGGTTTCCTCCCCTCTGCCCTGGAGATAATTGATTAGTAATTCAATTATCTCCAGGACAAAGACAAATCGCCATCTTAAATAAAATGCCAGAAAATACATAAAAATACATAACTTTATAATAACCGAACATTTCACATTCGCATCACATATCCCCAGATAGCCTGGATCTGAGGGCATATTATTGGCGAATAGCACTCAGATCCCACACACATAGTTCAATCGCCATGGAGTCAAAGTCCTTACAGTCTTTCGGAATGCGATTGACTCCATGGGAAGGCTGTCTGGGTTAAGTCCTTTCGTGTGTTGTAAAACTCCCGAACGGCCGGTGTTCGTACGCTTTCGTTGAGGCAGCCAGGCGACCCGTTGTTGTGTTCGGCAGAAAAAGTGTCCGCTTTTAGCTCCATGAAATCAGTGCCGAACACCGCTGGGCTTTCATGTGTTTTAAAATGGCCGCTGCCTCGTGGTCGACATACGAATGACGGCCACCCTGAATTCGGTTTAATTGAGAAGTGTCTGCGGTTAACCACAACGTTCTAATTGGGATCAAGAGGTTAACCAGCAGCACACTTCTATCCTGGGTGGCCATCTGTTCGGTAGATTTGTTTGGTGAAAAACAGTCATTCGTATAGCTGGGCTATAGAAACAGCCATTTACACGAAAGGGGGCAGAAATAGACGAATCCACCAAAATAGACAAATAGATGGTTCTGTCACAGATAGCCTTAGTTGCCCTTGTCTGATGGTAACATCTGTGGCTAAGGGGTATATAGAGGGTATGAATAAGAGGACCCTGTCAATGGTAATCTCAGTAGTCCCAAACATATAACCCCCTAACTCCCAACTCTCTAATCCACCTTATTGGCAAAAATTATTATCCTCTCAGCGATAAAAACGGCAGCCGAACTATCAACCGGCTACCTAGTAATACATTGTAAAATAATCAAAGCTGGGTGGTAAACTGGAGTAAATAAAGTATTTCAACTGCAGTCTCGTCCCCTGTCAACTTCCACCACCCACTAACTAGCTAGTGGGTGGTGGAGGTTGACAGGGGATGAGACTGCAGTTGAAATACTTTATTTACTCCAGTTTACCACCCAGTTTACCACCCAGCTTTGATTATTTTACAATGTATTACTAGGTAGCCGGTTGATAGTTCAGCTGCCGTTTTTATCGCTGAGAGGATAATAATTTTTGCCAATAAGGTGGATTAGAGAGTTGGGAGTTAGGGGGTTATATGTTTGGGACTACTGAGATTACCATTGACAGGGTCCTCTTATGCATACCCTCTATATACCCCTTAGCCACGGATGTTACTATCAGACAAGGGCAACTAAAGCTATCCATATTTGTTTTGTTGTTTTTTACCTCTCAGCCTTAAGTATTATTCATCATACACTTTGTTGTCATTTTAACCTATTTATTAAAAGTTATATTTAAATTTTATATGTACAACATAGGGTTGCGGCTAATGTCCCAGTACTTGTTGGGGAGGCTTGTATAAGATATCTTTCCCTCTTTCTCCTCCCCACTTGGATTGCGAGTACTCATTTCTTGGCTCAATTTATTAATAGGGGTTACCCCCCAGTTCTTATACAGCAACCTGACACACTCTCTCTACTCCTTCTCCACTTTATTTCATATAGTCCAAGTGACTTCAATGAGGAATGCTTAATTAGCAGTAAGTAGTATAGTCCATATTGTCACAAACGCACCCTACTACAAGAGGGTGCGTGACGTAGTTGTGGTGGTGAAAGGGTTAAAGTTCACTATTTGTCTGCACTAGACCAGAAATAATGACAAAATCCCTCTAACACCACCCACACTTAAACATAATAATATAACTATTACTATTTTAATGCTGCCACCACCAAGACAATTTTTTATAAATGGGTTGCCTTGGTTCTCGAGGTAAATCAATAATAAAAGCCTACCAAATACAGTGTAGCACAATATTTAAGGAATTGCAAAAATACTAATTAGTCTTTTCAGGTATCGTGATTCTTAACCAGACAAAGGCAGAATTTAATAAAGGAATATTTATTATGAGCAAAAAAAATAGTCACAGTGCATACAAAAAAATAGATGAAAAAACTAACTATTTACACCAACAACAGATAAAAACAAAACGGATAAAATAACAGAAGTCCTAAACACTTACTCACTTAGGTTTTCAAAGTAAAACTTCTGCCCAGGGGGTCTCTGGCAAGGAAGATGGTGACTTACTCAAAATTAGATTTTCGCCCCAAGCAAGTACACAGACATTTCAATATCATTGGATATATACCCTGTGGAATGCCATGCCTTTTCTAGAGGTGGAGTTAAGGTGTGTCTATAGAGATAATGAGTGATCTACCCTTTGTGTTCCAGACCAACTTCAATCCAAATGGAAACATTTGGTTCTATCTTTTCTTATGTACCTGCCACAGAAATAATAATTGCATCTATGAATCTGTTATTATTTTCCCATTCTATATATATGTAGCACACCTTACTTGCGACCCAATATGGCGGACATCACAATTCCTTACCCTGTGGTTAAGTTATGCCAATCATGTTTGGGCTTGTTTAGAAGATGGCACTTGTCACATTACAAATATAACAAAAATGAAGCTTAATTATTATTCTGTGGGTAAATATGAATGTTTTTGCCTTTTGGATATGATACTGGAACAAGGCTAATTGCATTAACATTAACATATCAAAGAGATTGACCCATCAATTAAGAAGTACAGGCCAGATAGCTGAGCCAGAGATTCAGGCTTTTCCAGTGTAGAATCCCACACCTTGAGAGCCTTTGAGTAATCACAGGATCCATTCATAGGATAAAAGCCTTTTCACGTTCCTGTGCAATTTACATTACCCCTTCTGTCATCTGACCTTTCATATTATTAATATTGTTATTATTTTATTATTTATATAGCACCAGCAAATTCTGTAGCTCTGTACAATGGGTGGGCAATCAAATTAACCCCTTTTGACCAGAGATTGATTGAGCACCTGAGATCAGGTGCAGCTTCCTTTTAACTCAGGAAAGGATGACATCACAAGCACATGGGGTCTGCTCACTAAAGGTCGATCTGGCTGGAATTAAATATGGAGGAATTCCCAAACAACGTGGGGGAATCCTGACACTGCCTGAAGAAGTAGTTTTATCAGAGTCTGTACAGATGTTTGAGCAGCAACTAGATGCATACTTGCAAAAAACATAATATTCAATTATATAATTTTTCAATTGTAGAGTAATAGCTTCTTGATCCAACAATAAATCTGACTACCATCCCCGGGTTAAGAAGGATTTTTTTCCTAGTTTGTTGCAAAATTGTAAGTTCTTTAAACTTGGTTTTTTTGCCTTCTTTTGGATCAACAGCAAAAAACAGATCTGAAGAAGGCTGAACTTGATGGATACATGTCTTTTTTCAGCCTATGTAAATATATTTGAAATGCCATCAAGTTTCCTTTGCACGACAGGTATAGCAACCCATGATGACCTTTTTGGCCTTCTTTTGGCCTCATAAGTGAGTTATAGCTGATACCCCTCTAGGCAAAGTGAGCACAGAGTCCACTTCTTGTTTACCATTTTAACTCAGGGATCGCCTCAGTAAAGAAGGTCAAAACATTCATCCGGGTTTTCTGTATCTCTTGTGCAGAGGGAACTTGCTGACATTTTGGATCTGTGCTGCCTGTATGAGTAGCATTAGACTGATATGAAAATTGCAAATATTCTTTCTGTAATGGCATTTTTGAGACCTGAGCCGGGAACAACTGAGAATGGGCAAAAGCTCAAAGAAACTTCCAATGTTTGCTCTTCAGAGCTCTCATATTTTCTGTTTTTGTTACAAATCACTTGGTGAATCATCCCATAATATTTTTGCAATACTTTTCATTTTTATTACTGGTTGCTTAATTTCAGATTTTTCAGTACTACAGATTTAATTTTAGATATTAACTTTACATTTTCTGTCATTTGAATGTGGCTTTGAAATTGTGTTTATCCTTAGTTCAGATGAATATAACTTACTCTGATATCACTGCTCTGGGATTCATTGCATTGTGGTGCCAGGTGTGGGCTATACAGTTATCTTGATGGTAACATCTTCACTACATGAATGCAGGCCTTCTGTATTTTTTTTCATGGATTAGGGCCTTTTGGTCTAGATCACACATCACGTAGCTATTGAGTATGTCTGATACCACTTAACATGGACCTGGTACAAGACAGAAAAATAATTTGGATAAAATGTGTGTTTTTTCCTGTATAAACAATTGTATCTTACAGGTTTTATACGATAGCAAAAGTAAATATGTTTTTACTTCTTCTGTAAAATCCATACAACACTTTAAAGATTCCCACTGTGCCCTTGACTTTGTAATGTAATGCTACAAAACAATATATAAAACCAGAGTGAAGTAATAAAAAAGGACAGATAGAGACCATATAAAGATGTCATTTGATAAGAAAAGCATTGCTTGTTTCAGTATGACTTACAAAGAAAGCTCTATGGCTAACAATACTGTGACTTGGAAAGACAACGGGAGAGATTTATCAAAGTTTTGCGTACACTTTTACATCTTATTTTTTGGAGAATATTTTATTGAACATAATATGTGGTGTCATTTATCAAATCTGTAGGTTTTATTAATCTGATTCTTCTTTTGTGTCGTACCCATTGTTTTTGCATTCATGCTTTTTTTCGGATGCCAAGATAGATTGATCAAACCTTTAACTTTTTTAATGACTGTGACACAACAGATGTATCAATCTTTCCAGTGATATTTATAAAATAAAAGTTTTCTATTTCACTTTTCTTATTTTCTACCACTGTATATTTGAGTTTTATGAAATTAATAATAAATGTTGCCTGGTTTTGTAGAAATATCAATAAATAATATCAGTTTTAGACTACTTTAGTGAATACATTCAATATAATGATGGGATGTAACTTTGACTTTTCAGAACCCATTAATAAATATGTTCTAATGTATGGTGCTTGCACTGTCAAAGTTTATTCTTTCACATGAATACAGGACTAACTTTCACGTTAGTGTAAGACTTTCTGGCCTGCTGTTGTAAGACCTAATTGATACATTCTTGCTGAAGACCCATAAAGAGTAATTTGTTTCCCTCTTGTCAGAGCATATAGACATCACTTTCCTGGTCAGACCTTATCTCCTTCTGGTGTTTACTTAAACTAATTGTATTATTTTCTTTACAATTGTTTACACATTAAAATACTTTCTTCTAATATGATCTTTCTTCTAATATAATCAGTTCTTGATTTCGCTTCAGCATACTTATTCCACAGAGAGCTATTCTCTAATACTACAGAGTAATCTGTGGTTTTATAACAAGCTAATAAGGAGTGGTCATTTGTTTTGGTCAGGAAACTATGCACAATCTTCTAGTAAAAGTGGAGGATATTGGCATTGGTCGAGACAGGTGGTAGACTGAGCATAGCAGGAGAAAAGCATTAAATGTGCAGGTGTGGCTGGTGATGCCGTGGACTAGTGCCCTAAACATATTAATTCACACAGGAATTCAACCTTCAGAGGCAATTTATACTGTTGCTCAACCAGCTGACGAAATTGTGACAATGCCCCCAATGTATGGCGTTTACACTGCCAAAGGATATTTTTTTCACATGAATACAGAGAGGTTCTTTGGACTATCCACCATGTTAGTACAAGACATTATAGCCTAGGGAAATAGAGACAAGTGTAAAGATTACATGGTACACTATTGGATGGAGATCTATAAAGTGTCCCTTTTCCATTGTCAGAGCACTTAGACATCACTTTCCTATATATATATTGCAGTACATTTTCCCACCATTTGGTTTACAGATCAAGTAAAAAAAAAAGTAACCAATAGAGGAAAAAACAGGAGGAGTAAAATAATAAATAAATAAATATATATTTGTAGTATACAGTTGTGCTCAAAAGTTTTCATACCCTTGAAGAATTGATAATATATGTACTATTTTTAAAGAAAACATGAGTGAGCAGGCAAAACACTTTTCTTCTATTTCTAATGGGATTCATATTCAACTGTAGGTTATAACAATCATAA